CATGAAGGACCAAAATTTCACTCTCAAAGGTGTCGTATGAATAATTCTTGCGTAAAAAATATCCATGGTTTTCAAAGATTGACCTATAACTTTGCATAGGTTCAGTCAATAATCTTGATTTCTGTAGTATCGATACTAGAAAATATGACGATTCTTTTGATATCCACCGAATCTTGAAAAGCTCTTAGTTTGATTATTTTTCATCGAAAACAATATTGTACTAAAAATTTTTGCGGCATCTGTATATCAATTCGTAAGAAATGCTAGTTGCTTCCGAAAATTAGAAAAAAACAAAATATTTTCGGTGCAGTGTCAAACTTTTGTGTATGGGTCAAAAGTGACCCAGGTTGGTAGTATTAGGGTTAAAGTACATAATTACGAGCTCTTATTGTTTGAAGCTTTTTCTTTCGATTGGGTTTACTTGTGTTACGCATGATTTACTCAGTGAGGCTGCATGAAGGATGTCTATAAGATATAAAAAAAAAAACATAATTTTCTTTGTTTTTCGTTTTTTTACTATGATTATTGCAGAAAGGAAGCGATTGCCCAAAATCAAAGCAATATGCAAATTGTTTTCATTTACTTCATTGTCAGTGATAAAGTACACACAAGGAAAAACAATTGGTTCTACTCTTTTTTTTCTGTTTGCATTGATATATTGAACATATTACAAATAATTCTGATGTTTCCATAAATTAGTTATGTTAAATATAAAATTTGAATTTAATTGTTAATGCAATTTTTTTTTCAAAATTCAGACGTCATAATATTATTCAATATCAAATATCAATTTTACAAATGAAAATCATTCTCTCTCTCTCATCATGTTTCATATTCTCTATCTAATGAAAATATTTGTCCATATGATAAAATTGTGACTAATTCAATTGAAAAGATTCTTTGACTGAGTATGCCATATTTATGATTATGATAAGTAGTAATAGGAATTATAAATGTTTGATAAGTATATTAAATAAATCCAAATACATGAGTATGAGACATGAATACTATACCATTGAAATCTAACAATTGTAATATTTATTCTTTTTATCGACAAGCATAAAACTTTTGTTCAAACGTATGTGACCAATGTATTTAACTATACTTACTTTTATCTACTCATTTAAAATTGATATTAATCAATATCTACTATGAACATATTGATAAATGTCACTTTTCAAACTAACGAGGGAACATATTTGAGTGTAGTCCCTGAAAATGAGTTCAAAAGCATTCTATCTGTTAGGGATCTCGATGAGTAGCATCTCGAATATCAATATCCTAGCTGTCCCTGTTTTGGTCTCGAAAAACGATGGTCTCTAACTTTTTCATTTTTAGGCTTTTTCTTCCTAGTGGATGTACCATATCGTTGTTTGCTTTTGTCAAATTTGCAAGAACAAGTAGTTTTATTTAGAGAAAGCAACTTGATACGAGCATAAATCGATATACAAAAGCTATCTCGTTATCACAAGTGAAGATATTAAATCTATTTTTCCAGCTTAGCTCTTTATCTACTGGGTTCCTATGTTATCGAAAAACAATGAGTAATTGATCAGATGTATATTTGATTGAGGAACATAGATGCGATATGTTCACTTATGATAATAAGACAACTTTTGCATATCGATTTATGCACATATCAAGTTGTTTTCTCCAGATAAAACGACTTGTTGTTGCAAATTTGACAAAAGAGAAAAATGACATGATACGTCTACCAGTAAGAAAGAGTCTAGAAATAAAAAAGTTAGACACCCTCGTAAGACCATAATATTCCGAAGCAATGCAATGAACTTCATATAGTCATGTATGCTTCGAGAAAAAAAACCGATAAATTACTTGAGACCTTTCCCCATGCAGTAAAGCTCATAGAAAAAAGAAGCATGATCAAAAGAAAAAGAGTATGTCGAAGTACGAATTCAACTTTGAATAAATCATTCTAGAAGAAAAACGAACATTGTTTATGCAGAGATATCTACTACAATTATTTTTTTTCATCAGATCATATAATTTGCATTTCATCAAAAATGGAAA